GGTGACGGCCAAATCCGGATGGATCACCTACGACGCGGGGAGGACCCCGGAACGACGCGGAACCATGCAGGTGGCAGCGTGCCGGCTTGGGCTGGCCATCGTCGCCGCTACGTTCGACCTCAACGGCGGCTCCTCGTTCGACTAGGAGTCCGCCCTCTTCTAGCACCACTCCAGAGTTAGGGTGGCTTGCTATCAGCAGGTGTGTGACTACTACTACTACTACTACGACTACCATCCCCACGATTGTTAGTTCTACCGCTGCGACCGCTACGGCTACTACTACTACTACTACTACTACTACTACTATTGCCGGTACTACGATCACTTGTAGTATTAATGCTGCTATCACCGCGACTACTATATTTTCCACGAATAATACTACGGCTAGGACCTTCCACAAAATTTGCGACTTCTTCTAGTACTACTACTACTATTCGCACTACTACTACTACGACGGCTTTTACTTTACTACCACTACTATTGCTATCACTACTACTACCACTACTACTACCACTACGACTGCTACTACTACTGCTACTACTACCATTAAGTTAACTAGCGCTACTCATACGACCATTGATTGTTACTAACACTGGCATTGCTATTCCGACTCTTTCTACTCTCACTTTTACAAACACAGCCGCTACTACTACGAGTACAACTACTACTACTAGTACGACGGTTACTACTAGTACTACTGCGACTGCTAGTACTTGTGCTACGAGTAAGAGCACCATCACTACTACTACTACTACGACTACTACTACTACTGCTACCACTACTACTACTGCTACTACTATTACTACGACTACGACTACTACTACTACTACTACTACTACTAGCAATACTACTACTACTACTATTATTACTACTACTGCGGCTACGACTACTGCTGCTGCTACTACTTGCATTATTTCTACTACTGCTACTGGGCTGCTACCGGCACTACTACTACGTCTACTTCTACGACAACTACAACTACTGCACCTGTCACGTTTACGACTACCACGCCTGCGACGGCGACGTTTACGTTTATTGTTTCCACTTCTGCTACAATTGCGACTACTACGATCAATTTTACTACTACTACCTGCCACTACTACGACTACCACCGCTACTTCTGTTACTATTACTACTGCTACTACTACGACTACTACGACTACGACTACGACTACGACTACTACTCTTACTAATACTACGACTACTACTACTACTACTACTACTAATAATAATACGATTACTACTACAACCAGTACTACTACTACTACTACTACTACTACGACGACTACTACTACTACTACTACTACTACTACTACTGTTGCTGCTACTACTACTACTACTAGTACTACTACTACTAGTACTACTACTCCTACTACTATTACGACTATTACCACTACTACTACGACGACGATTGTTATTACGATTGCTACTACTACTACTACTACTACCACCACTACTACTACTACTACTACTACTACTACTACTACTACTACTACTACTATTACTACCACTACGATTACAACGGCTACTACGACTATTACTACTAGCACTATTTTCATTATTTGTACTACTTCTACTCATAATAATTCTGCTAGTACGAGAAGGATTAGTTTTACTACGGTTGCAACAACATTACTACTATTACTGCGACTACTAAACTACTACTACGACTCCTACTATTACGTCTGCTAGTACTACTTACTATCATTTGACAGCCACTACTACTTCTGCTGCTACTACGCTTACTACAATTGCTCGCCCTACGGCTCCTATTATGACTACCGCTAGTACTTCTACGACTGCTACTCCTGCGGCTGGTACGACTACGACCACCACTAATACTCTTCCACAGTTACTATTACTATTACTGCTCCTACCGCTACTCCTGGTACTAGTACATCTTCTATTCCTACGAGGACTACTACTACTACTTTTGCTACTTCTACTACTAATGCTACTACATCTATTCCTACTACTACTACTACTAATACTACTACTACTACTACTACTACTACTACTACTACTACTACTACTTCTACTTTACTACTACTACGACGGCTACTACTACTCGCTTCGCCGCGGCGGTGATCATTGTCCTTGTTTTGTTGGGTGGCCTGGTTCTCATTTGCACGCGAGAGAGTGTGAGGAGCATCTTCTGATGAGGATTGCAATCGGAGTCCGTGTTTGCGATCGTAGTGGTGATTGTAGTCGCGAGTGTAGTCGTGACCGTCGCGGTTGCAGCCGCACTCGTAGATCTAATCTTCGTCGTAGGTGTAAGCGTCGCCGCCGTCGCGGAGGAGATTTGTTTCCCTCTGTTGTTGGGCGGGCTGGATCATGTTTTGGGTGTCCTTCTCCCAGGGTGCGACACTTCTTGCGCGACCCTGCACGGCAGAGGTTTTTGAGCACATTTGTGCGAGGATTGCAATAAGGATCGAAGCATTATACGCCGACGGCGATGTTCACAATCTTCTCTCTCATCTCGTCAGTGTCGTCGTTGATTGGCGGGCCCCGCGCGTGAATAACTACATCCCGTTGCTTGTTGGGCCCCGGTCCGTCACTGTGGTCGCCGAGCAAGTATTGAGTTGCCGTTTTCCGGTGGGTCTGAAGACGTTTAGAGGCCTTGAATGCAAGTTTGAAGCATGAAAAGGGGAACCAATGAATGTGGCCATTGTGGGGCCTTCCTGGGAGACATCTTGGAGGCCTCTTGGAGGCTCTCAGGCCGTGTTGGAGGCCTTACGGGGGCGTCTCGGTCCGCCCTGGGCCATCTCAGTGAGCCATCTTGAAAAACATTGTGCGGCCATCTTGGCCATTTTGACCGTGTTGGAGGCCATCTTGGGGCAGTATTGGGGAGGGATGCGAAGTGAGACCGCAGTTTACGCGACGTTCTGGGTGGGTTGGGCCGAAGGGCGCGCTGGAAATTTCTGACCACTAGAAACTATTTATAGTGCACCACGCCGTGCACCCCTGTGGCAAGCCAGCTGTGTGGCGGCGGATCTCATGACCTTCGGCCCATTCCGACATCGTGCCTGGGACCGATCGATTGGCGACTCGAGGCCCTCTTGGACCGTCTGAGCGGCCCTGTTTGGGTCCTCTTGGCACGCCTTCGGGCCCGACTAAGTAATGCGGGAAGACGCCCCGAGCGCGCTGGGATCCCCGGGAGATTTCAGAATACGGAGGCCTTGCCCTATCACAAATCGTAAGGATCGTGGCCTGAGGCCTAGGGCATTCTGCAAGGGATCTGAGGACACTCCAACCCGTGCCTCGCAGGAACGGTGGCGGATATATCCAGGCCTCTCGAATGGGGCCCCGGAATAGATGGGGTCGGCCGATCGCGCCGAATCGCCGATGCATCGGTGGTGCGGCTCGATGTGGAGCCCGGTTTTCTCCATGCCGACGGCGCCGATGCAGCGCAACGTCGCCGACGCAGCACCTACGAATCGGCGATGCACTGGCGATATCGGCGCGATCCTCCGACCCCAGCTGATCGGACCCACTTTTTGCAAGACGAGGAGGAGGATGAAGAGGAGGAGGAGGGGCAGGGGGAGGCGGGGAGGAGGGGCGGGGGGAGGGGGGGGGAGGGGGCGGGGATGAGTGGGGGGAGGAGGAGGAGGGGGAAGCGGAGGAGGAGGAGGAGGAGGAGGAGGAGGAGGAGGTGGTGTCCAATATGGTCATGCTCCCAGCGCCCGGCGAGGGAGCCGACGCCCCCGACGTCGGTGTCCCATCGTAGCCCCCTCCCCTTCGTGAGCTGCGTGAAGCTGTTTAGAGTCTGCTGCTGCCACGAAAGCCGTGTTTGACTGCGGCCTCCGGCATCCCCCCCCGGGCCTCCGGCATCCCCCCCGGGCCTCCGCATTTCCTCCTCCCTCCTCCTCCTCCTCCTCCCCTCCTCTTCCTCCTCCTCCTCCTCCTCCTCCTCCTCCTCCTCCTCCTCCTCCTCCTCCTCTGACGTGCGAAGCCTCCACCACTGGCCCGAGAGACGACGCGAGCTGGTCACACCGAAGAAGAAGAAGAAGAAACTCTACAAACAAGCTTTCGGAGCGAATTTCTTTGATCCGCGCCGGGGCCCCCTGGCGGCGCCTCCGGCGCCGCCCCTGGCGCGCGGAGCGCGCCAGGGAGGGGGTTCCAGCGCAGATCCAAGAGATCCGCCGCAGATCCAAGACATCCATGCGGAGCGCTGAGAGTATATGTTTATGGATTTTTCTTCTTCTAATCATTGGGGAAAGCCCCAGGGTCGAGGACCCGCGGTTTCTGCGCCTCAGGACGCCTCCCCACGCCCTATGGATGTCATGGGTGTATTTCACGGCGTGGGCCCCCAGAGATCTGCACCCCTTCCCAGCACTTGTGTTCCACCCATTTGTGGGCCCCGGAAACGGCAGGGGCGTTTTTTCACCGTTTCCAGGAAAATGTCTTTTGAAAGTGGAAACGGCCAAAAAACGGCGACCGGAAACGGCAACGAAAACGGCTCCAGGATCGGAACCGGAGCCGGAACCGGTCAAAAAACGGCGACGGAACCGGTAAAACAACGGCGTCGGAACCGGCAAAAAAACGGCAAAACGGAACCGGTAAAAAAACGGCCCTGTCGTTTCCAGGGCCCACTAAGTCCCACCCTGGGCGGTTGCTTCTTGGCCCCGTGGCTCCAGCGAGGGGCCCCAGCTGCACGGACAGTTGCTTCTTGGCCCCGTGGCCCCAGCGAGGGACCCCAGATGCACGGACAAGTACAGAGCAAGATCTTTGTTATTTGTTGTCAAGACGCGAGGGGGTCTCCCTCGTGTCCACAACTCGCCGAGCGCGTTCCACTACTCGCAGAGTGCCTCCTCGCAAACGTCCGAAACACCATACGCCTGCCTTGATGTAATTCATCGTACATTCCCTGCGGCAGATCCGGGCCACTTGCGAGTAGCGACTCTGCGAGTAGGGGCACGCGCTTGTCGAACAACGGGGCGGCGGCGGATGCAGGAAAGCACAAAACGAGCTCCTGTTTTGGTTCCCCTCGTGCCCACGAGGGGGCGGCGGCGGAGAGCCTCCCGAGCGGCCGGAAGACCCCGCGGTCGAGCAAGCTGCAGATGACGCCCGAGTCGCGCCGGCCGAGCTCGGTGCTCGAGGGAAGGAAACACGATGGCCCCGACGAGGCTGTCGCGGGATCGTGTCGGCGATGGTCCCTAACTGGCATCGGCGGCTACAAGGGGTCTGGTCACGCCAGGGTGCGGTTTGCAATCGGCACCGCTGGGGCCTGGGGAGCATGACGCTGTTCTCGCTGCGCCTCCCCGGGGCGCGGCGGAGGGCTCTGTCGAGGTCCCCGCCCGCCCCCCAGGGTGCCCCCCGGGGTGCCAGCTGCAAACCATACCCTTTGCGAACCGCACCCTTCGGAGTCGCCGACTAATGGTGAGGCTCCGGGTTGCGCGCAGGGAGCTCCCCCAAGGTGGTCCCAGCTGGCCTCAACAGGCGCCCCCGAGAAGTGCGGGGCGGTCTCAACACCCCGGCGCCGCCTCCGGCGGCGCCCCTGGGGCTTTCCGCGCCCCAGGGTTGAGGTGTTGAGACCGCCCTGGACTACTTGGAGGGCCTGTTGAGGCCAGCTGGGACTACTCTGGGGGCCTGTTGAGGTCAGTCTCGGCTACCTGGGGTTGCTGTCTGTGCGCAGCCCGCAGCCTTGCCATGGTCCATGCCGACCGTCGCCGATTCGCGAGGACGACCACGAGTCGACGGCAACCAAGATGGAACATGACCAAGATTCGAAGAAGGAACACTACGTAAGCATACAGCTTTGGAGCTCCGTCCGAGGCCGATCCCAGCAGTCCGCGCTGACTTACGTGTGTATGCTTATGCATTTCTTTTTCTCCTTCTTCTCAAGATCGACACCGTCGTTTTCGCGTTCAGCCGTGGTCATGGTCATCGTTTCTCTTTCGCTCCAGGTGTTCTCGGACGGCGAGGGCGACTCTCGGTCCCTCGCCGCGCTGAGCGTGTATTCGGACGTCGGCCAGCAGTCGCGCCTGACCCAGTTGTCGCGCAAGACGGTCACGCGCCATCATCTGAGCACTAGGGAGCTGGAGGAGATCCAGGTCGAGGACTGGGACAGCTGTCTCCGCATCTTGTTTTACTTGAGGAAGCAGTATGTCCCGATGCCACCATCCTTGCCTCGTCAGGTCCCTGGGAGTAGTCCGCGGCGTAGCGGTATCGGTACCTTTGGCCCCCCAACAAAATGTTTCTTGTTTCGCTTGGGTTGGCTAACTCGAGAAGGGAAGGGGCATGCGTTGCGCAGGCTTGCGAACCTTCTCGGGATGTGCCCCCGAGATGAGAGCCTGCGTCAGCCCCTTGTTCTGGGAAAGGCTGGTGCAGTCGCGTTCCCCCGAAGAAGGTAAGACGACATACGCATCAAATGTCGGAGGCAGGCCTGGATTTCCTTGATCTGCTCCAGACCCTCTCCCCTCTCTGCCAGCGGAAACACGCAGGGGCGGCGCCAGAGGAAGCACCGCTGGGGGGATACAGCACCGATCCAAGAGAGCCAGGCGGACCTCCGACAGTTCATCTTTGGCTTTTTACATGAGTTCGGGCGGCTCGTTTCTGCTTATCGCAGCATGTTGGTTGATGCACGTGGATGTGTTTGTGGTTTCTCTGCTTACGCCCTCATTGTGAGGCCGGGTGGTACCCATAATCGGCAGGTGGAGGGTATTTGTGTATTGATATCTAGACATATACCAGCGGCCTCCGAGAGCCACCTCTACCAAATACGTCGTGCCGCTGAGGCACTTGTAGAGCACGCCCGAGCGCCCTTCCAGGCTCTGATGGACTCCTAAGTCGCCCCCTTTGTTACGAGCGACATACGCATATACATTCTCACATGCACATGCATTCACTACCCCCCCAGGGACCAGACATCCATATCCACCCCTGTCAGGGTCCCCCAAAAGTCTGCTCCCCCTGGCGGTGACTACGGATGACGGTCTCACGGGCAGTTCAGAGCGAGCTCCTGCATTGCCCCCCCCCCCTCGACAGGGCAAAGCAACGCACGCCTGGATCCAGACTGAAGTCGTGCTTGTCCCTCGTCACGGGGAATATTCAAAAATAGTTAAAACATAGACTGGGCATTATTTTTTGAGCATTTCTGACAATGTTGGAGTGTTTTTTGGTTTATTTCATTGTTTCGCCGAAAATGCCCCTGCAGGGGGCACGCCCGACTGAGATCTAGACGGGGAAGGCTGCCGCAGCGCGCCGGGCCTCTTTGAGCCGTGCGGAGGCGGTGGCGGCGCCGCCGTCAGAAACCTGGACGGAGAAGTCAGCTCCAGCGGGCAATGCCACGGTCGGGTCGGGCCATCTTCGCGAAGGGGAATTGGAAGCAGCGGAAGCATACATGTGAGCCAGCAGCGGCCCCGAGCAGTGAGTGATTGCCCCGTGGAGGTGGGATATGTGTGGTGTGAGCTACGTGGTGTTAGCTGTGCTGCGTTATGAGGCTATGGTGCGCAGGCTATGTGATGCTCGCCCTAAGATGTCCGTGATGTGGTTTGATCCGTGCTGTGTGAACTATGCGGCGGGGGCTCTCTTGTGCAAGCTGTATTGCCCCGCCCCGGGCTCGGGGCGCCCACCAGGCGCCCACGTTCCAGGCCTCCTGGATGGGGTCCGAGCAGGTGGGGTCGGAGGCATCGGCGACGCGGCTCGATGTGGAGCCCGTGCTTCCCCACGCCGACGTCGCCGAGGCGTCGCCGATGCATCGCCGATGCATTGGCGCTGCGGCGCGACCCTTTGACCCCCATCTGCTCGGACCTTAGTGGGCCCTGGAAACGACAGGGCCGTTTTTTTACCGGTTCCGTTTTGCCGTTTTTGTTGCCAGTTCCGACGCCGTTGTTTTACCGGTTCCGTCGCATTTTTTGACCGGTTCCGGCTCCGGTTCCAATCCTGGAGCCGTTTTTGTTGCCGTTTCTGGTTGCTTTTTTTGCCGTTTCCATTTTCAAGGGGCATTTTTTTTGAAACGGTGAAAAAACGGCCTTGCCGTTTTGCGAAGAGAACTATGCACATGCACCGATCCTTGCAAGGCCCATCCTTGACCCAGGATCGGTGCATAGGCCTTCCTGGCCAAGGTAGGAGGGCGTATGCACCGATCCTGGGCTCAGGATGGGCCTGGCCAGAATCGGTGTATGTGCATAGTTCTCTTTCCTCTATTTCCGGGGCCCGCAAAGGCTCGGACCCCCCTCGATGGGGGCCTCCGTACGCGCGCGCCTCCGAGGCGCCCGCCCCGGCGGGCCCGGCCCGGCCGGGGTGGGCGCCCCCTCGCGCGGCCGTGGGGCGCCCACCGCGGGCGGACCACCGGGCGCCCGCGCGGGGCGGAGCCTCGGCGCACCCCCCCGGGGGAGCGCGAGTTGCGCTCCTCCTCTCCTTCTCTCTCTTCCTCCTCCTCTCCTCCTCCTCCTCCCTCCTCCTCTCCTCCTCCTCCTCCTCCTCCTCTCCTCCTCCTCCTCCTCCTCCTCCTCCTCCTCCTCTTCCTCCTCCCCTCCCCTCCTCTCTCCTCCTCTCCTCCTCCTCCTCCTCCTCTCCTCCTCCTCCCTCTCCTCCTCCTCCTGCCTCCTCCTCCCCCGAGGCGCCCCCCCCCCCCCGGGGCGGGCGCGGGGCGCGCCCCCCCCCCCCGGCGAGGGAGCGCGGGGCCCACCGAGGGAGCGCGAGGCCTCGGCGGGAGCCGCCGAGGGAGTGCGGGGCGCCCCCCCCCCCCCCCGGCGACCGCGAGCGGGCACGGGGCCCCGCGCGGGCAATCTCGGTCTCCTCCTCCTCCTCCTCTCGTCCCCTTCTCCTCCTCCTCTCTCCTTCTCCTCCTCCTCTTCCTCCTCGTCCTCCTCCCCCTCCTCCTCCCCCTGCTCCTCCTCCTCCTCCTCCGCCTCCTCTCCTCCTCCTCCTCCTCGTCCTCCTGTTTCTCCCTCCTGTTCCTCCTCCTCCTCCTCCTCCTCCTCCTCCTCCTCCTCCGCCTCCTCCTCCTCCTCCTCCTCCTCCATTCCTTCTCCTTCAAAATAACCTCTCCCTGTCGCACCCCGAGACCACCCGTTCGCTCACGCGTGACAGGTGCGAACGTCCAAGTGAGAGCAGAGGATTCTCTGCTTTTTTGTTTGTCAGTTCTGACTAGGCTCTCGTGGTTCTCGTGGCCTGGAGAGCTGCCATGATGTTTCCTGCGCACACAAGCCTTCACACAGCCGGTCCACCCCCCATTCTACTCCGAGCGCAGCCGGCGCCGTGCCTTGCGCAGAAGGTCCAGCGGAGGGCGCGCTTCTCATGACATGTTGAGAGTGAGGGGGCCGAACGATCATTCACTGTCCTTGGGCACCTGGCTGAAGTGAGGTCCTGCGGTGCTCACTGTTGTTGTTGTCGTTGTTGTTATTGTTGTTATGGTTGGTGTTGTTCCATTGTTGTTGCTTGTGTTGGTGTTGGTGTTGGTGTTGTTGTGGTTGTTGTTGCTGTTGCTGTTGCCGGTGTTGTTATTGTGAGTTTGGTCGTTGTTGTCATTGTTGCTGGTGCTATTGCTGTTGTTGCTGCTGTTGTTGGTGTTGATGTTGTTGTTAAAGTTGGTGCTGTTGTCGTTGTCGTTGGTGTTGTAAGAGGTGTGTTTTTGTTGCTGCTGTTGTTGGTGTTGTTGTCGGTGGTGTTATTGTTGTTGGTGTGGTGATTGTGATTGTCGTTGATGTTGTTGTTGTTGTTGTTGTTGCTGTTGTTGCCGTTGTTGCTTTTGCTGTTGTTGTTGTTGCTGTTTGTTGTCGTCGTCCCCTCCACGACCCGGCACGCGACCCACCCGCGACCCACCCCGCGACCCGCCCGCGACGCACCTGCGACCCACCCCGCGACCCACCCCGCGACCCACCCAGGCCCCAACCCCCGATCGAGTCCGACCGAACCCGTCGCCCACGGCCCTCCCAGGCTCCACGCCCGCTCGTCGCGCGTGTCGCGCGGCGTCCTGGCGGCTCATCTGGCTTTTGGAAGAGCTCCCAGAAGTCGTGGGAAATGAAACATACCCGTCGTTCCTTTTTTCCAGTCGTGCTCAGTTCTAATTCTGCTCGCTTCTGATTGTTCCTGGCCCCCCAGTGGCCAGACAGAGGCCCAGGATGGAAGAATTAGAAATGACAGGATCTTGGCCCCCCGAAAAATCTAAGAATTTTGGAAGAATTTGGAATCAACAGTACGTGTACCCCTGAGTATCTTTTATGTGACTCTTTCCCAGTCTTCTTGTCCAGAGCCCGCCTGCAGGAGGAGATGCCCGACCCAACACGAGGGCGGGTGGAGCACCCCGCTTTCCCCCCGCCCCCCCTCTGGGGTTGAGCCGGGCCTGTCCCTCCTACAGGGGGAGCATGCAGAATTTAACTAATAGGCCAGGGACGACATTTCCAAACGTTTTTTTGCTAGTTTTGAATGCTTCTGGAGCGTTTGTTATCTCTTTCTCCCTGATCCGCCTGTAGGGGGACGTGCCCGACCGAAGCCTGGGGGCTGCGGCAGGCGCGCCGCCTGCGTTCGCCTCGCGAGCCCCCCCCCCCCGGCTGCCCCCGAGGAGAAGCGCCGCGCCCTCCGCGAGATGATCAAGCGGAGCTCCAGGGCGGCCCGAACCGACCCCTAGCAGACCACCGGGGGGGGGGGGGAGGCCAAGCAGGAGGAGGAGGAGGAGCAGGAGGAGGAGGGGGGGGAGGAGGAGGAGGAGGAGGAGGAGGAGGGTACCCATACCGCTGTGGCTGCGGCTGTGGCGCTCGGGCTCGGGCTCGAGCCCGGGCTCGAGCGGCTTGGGCTCGAGTTCGGGCTCGGGCTCGGGCTCGGGCTCGGGCTCGGCTTGAGGCCCGGGCTCGGGCTCCGGCTCTGGCTCGGGCTCTCTGCTAGGAGCTTTGCGAGGTTCCCGGCGGTAGCCAGGTCGTCGGTTTACCGATGGCTGCCCTTGCCTCGTTTTCCCCTTTCTGGACCTCCTTCCGGGCCTTCGTCGCCTCGAGAATCTGTGCAGATCGCACACTGGGAGAGGTCCAGGGAGCGGCGGTATCGGAACCTCTTCGGTTCCCTCAGCCATTTGTTTCCGTGGCGTCCCCCTTCGCCTCACCCCAGGACGTACGAGTGCGGCCGGAGGGGGGCTCGTGAGGCGAGGTTCAAGACCTCTGCGGCCCAAGGCGTATGTGTGTATATATATATATATACATACATACATACATACATACATACATACAAACATACATCGATTCTATATATATGTATATATATATATGCATACACATATTCATATACAAATATTTATAGGTGTGTGTTTTTGCATGTGTATATATACACATATATGTATGTATTTTGTTCGGCGAGGGCGACGTCCTGGAAGGGGATGGTTTGTTGCTAGGGGTCGGTCAGGCCGCGCCCCCGAGGAACGGGATGAATTGCCGCAGGGCGCTGAACGCCACCGACCTTGGCAGCGCCGGCCGCACGGACCGTTCGATGAAGGTCACGGTCCCGAAGGAGATCAGGGGCAACGTCGGTGGGGTGGGGGCAGGCTCAGGGGTGGGGGGGACGCATCGACCCCCAATCGACGATCGCCGACAGGGACCCGACAGCCCCCCCCACCCCACTCGGGAGCGTGCGGTTTTCGCAATCGGAGGCTCATCGACGATCTGTGGGCGATGTATCGCCGATTCCAGGTCGTTCCCCCCCCCCTTGCGCCAGAACCTCCCCTGCCTTCCTCCCTCCCAGGAGAGGAGTCGGTAAATGCATCTGTCGCCGTCTCTCTCTCTCTCTCTCTTTTTCTCTCTCTCTCTCTCTTTCCTTCTCTCTTTCTCTCTGATTCTCTCTCTCTCTCTGATTCTCTCTCTCTCTCTCTCTCTATCTATATATATATATGTATATGTATATATATATATATATATATATATCTCCCTCTCTTTTGTAGGAGAAGCATTATAATACGACTACCATTACTTGCACGACTGCTAATGTTAAAACGAAGCAACATCATAAACATATGAGTGAAATCAATGGCACGAATGATCATATCACCAGACATCGACTGAGAAACTATGAGAGTCGTCCGGAGAACGAGCGCGAGTCGTAATGGGAATGCGAAGGAGTGACCACGGCGCGCACACAAGCCGTTCACGAGTGAGCGTCCGCGCGGATTGCTTTGATCGGCGCTGCACCCGCCTGGCGCGCTCCACGCGCCGGGGGCGAACCTTCGACGATGCCCATGTCGATGAGGTAGTCTCTCCGACCATGCACCGAAGCTCCCAGTGGGACCGTCCGCATGCGCCTCGAAAACCCAATTTGGCATTTTCATCCACCCAGTACAACGCTTCGTGGGCCCATAGGGAGCTCCACCGAAGCCCCCAGTGGGACCGTCCGCATGCGTCCCGGAAACCAAATTTGGCACACCCCTCATACGTTTCGTGGCCCCATAGGGAGCTCCACCGAAGATACCACTGGGACCGCCCGCATGCGTCCCACACACCAGGGTTTGCATTTTCTCCCCACCCAGTACGGCGCTTCGTGGCCCCAGAGGGAGTTCGCCCGACGGCCCCAGCTCTACCGCCCGCATGCGTTCCCCCCCCCACCCAGTGCAGCGCTTCGTGGCCCTATAGGGAGCTCCACCGAAGCCCCCAGTGGGACCGTCCGCATGCGTCCTGGAAACCAAATGTGGCACACCCCTCATATGTTTCGGGGTCCCATAGGGAGCTCACCCGAAGCCTCCAGTGGGACCGCCCGCATGCATCCCACACACCAGATTCGGCATTTACCCAGTACGGCGCTCCGTGGCCCCATAGGGGGTTCTCCCGACGGCCCCCGTTGTACGCCCGCATGCGTTCCCCCCCACCCAGAGCAGCGCTTCGTGGTCCCATAGGGAGCTCCACCGATAAAATATGCACAATTGCGGTACCCACAACTGCATATAGTTGGGTCCGTCGCCAGGATATTTTTATTTTAATTTTTCGTTGGAAATCCCCCTGTAGGGGGACACGCCCGACTTAACCCAAGGGGGTAGGGGTGGTGGATATGCGGTCCCCCGGCCCATGTCGGCACACCCCGCACACGCTTCGTGGCCCCATAGGGTAGGTAGGGAGCTGCACCGAAGACCCCCGGGGGCGAAGGGAAGGGGCGCATACTGCCCCATAGTTGCCATAGTTCGTATTGGTACACTCTTTACACGTCTCGGGGGAGGGGGGGGCACGTGCGGTCTAGTCAATTCCAGCACGCCCCTTACACGCTTCGTCGCCCCAGAGGGACCTCCGCCGAAGCACCCGCGGGGGCACACGCGGTCCCCCAACCCATTTTGGCACTCCCCTCACGCGTTTCGTGGCCCCAGAGGGGTCTCCACCGAAGGCCCGCACGGCAGTGCCTACGCGCCGGCACCGCACACGTTTCGGCACCCCCCCCACACGCTTCGTGGCCCTTGGACGGTGGGCCCCAATGAAGGCCCCAATGGCGGGACTCGCACGGCGCCGCCGCACACATGTCGCCGCATTCCTCCCGTGTTTCGCGGCCCTCGTCCGCCCGAAGGCAGCCAGCCGGTCTCGGGCTGTTTCCTTTCCGTGGCGCGCTAGTTTCGGGGAGCGGGCTGTACCCTGCGTCGCTCGCAGCTGCAGACGCTGCCAGGCTCATCTGACGGCCCATGGGCAGGGCGAGGGCCCCCCGAGGCCGAAGACGGCCAAGCGTCTCCTGTCGCGGTTTTGGTTTTCGCTGCGCGAGCATGCCTGGGATTCGATGCGATGTCCCGAGTCCGAAGAAGCGAGGAAGGCTCGACAATGCGGGGCAGGGGATAGGAGGAGAGGAGGATAATGCTTACGAGGGGAACGTGGGGGGCGAAGGCTAATCGCTATGGAGAAGTTTCGGACGGTGCGCAGCAGGAGGAAGAGGGGAGGAGGATGAGGACGAGGAGGAGGAGGACGAGGAGGAGGAGGACGAGGAGGAGGAGGAGGACCGATCCTGGGAAGCACGCGCGCGCGCCCCTGCCGCGGGAGGAGTTCAACCTGAGCCGCGGCGTCCCCCGGACGCCCCGCTCGGAATGCGCTGCCTCGGACTCCGAGAGCGACGGCGGCTGGGGGGCACCCAATCTCTCGGGGAACTGGGAGCTGGTCCTCCCCCCATCGTTCCTCCCTCATCCTCTCCTCCGCCTCTCCCTCCTGCCTCCTCCTTCTGTTCATCTCTTCTCATCCTCCGCCCTCCTCCTGCTCCTCTCCCTCCTCCTCCCCACACTCAAAGGCAGATGGGCTCACATGTCTCACCATATCGAATGGAGCAGAAAGGAACAGGGTCACTTTTGTTGGAATTACGGGGCTTTGGCCAAACACTACGTCAGCGAGAAATTGGCAAACGAGTGCAACCCCCCAGCAGGGAAGACCAAGGGCCACTACGTAGTGAGAGCCCTCAGGAAGCATGCTTGATTTGAATATCGTGATTACTGTTGTTGGTTACAGAGAGATCAGTGTCATGCCATTCCCGAGGGGGTAGACCCGTAGAGCCCATACGGGTGCCCACGATGGCTTAAATGCGACGGAGCGTGTATTCCCTCGGGTCCCATCTTCTCATTGTTTTGAGTTCTATTGATTTTGGTCAGAGTTTCTTGTATTGAGTTCTGGACTGTATGATTGTTGATTCTTCTATGCTATCGCAATTGGTATCCGACTTTCACTGTATGAATTTCGAGATAGTTGAGCTCGTGCCACGCATCGACATGATCGACGCAGCACCTACGCAGCGCATACGTTGCACCTACGCAGCACTCGTCGGCCTGTAGGAAGCCTTGGGGGAAATCCTCGTCCCCCTCCTCCTCCTCCTCCTCCTCCTCCTCCTCCTCCTCCTCTTATTACTACTACTACTACTACTACTACTATTACTACTACTACTACTACTACTACTACTACTACTACTACTGCGACGACTACAACAACAACTACTAATACGACTCCCACTACTACTACTGCCACTACTACTATACTACAACTATTACTACTACTACTACTACTACTACTACTACTACTACTACCACTACCATCACTACTGCTACTACTACTACTACTTCTACTACTACTACCAGTGCTATTACTACTACTACTGCTACTACTACTACTTCTACTGCTACTACAAATACTACTACTACTACTACTACTACTACTACTACGACTATGCATACTACTATTACTACTACTACGACTACGACGACGACGACTACTACTACAAGTACGACTACTACTACTACTACTACTAATACTACGACTACTACCACTACTACTACTACTCTTACTACTACTAGTACTACTACTACTACTACTACCCCTACGACTACCACTACTACTACTACTACTACTACTACTACTACTACTACTACTAGTCTTACTACTACTACTACTACTACTACTACTACGACTACTACTACTACTATTACTGCTACTACTACTACTATTATCACTACTACTATTACTACTAGTCTTACAATTATTATCACTACTACTACTACTACTACTTTTACTACTACTACTACCACTACTACTATTACGACGACGACTACTACTACTACTACGACTCTTACTTCTACTCTTACTGCTACTACTACTACTACTTCTACTACTACTACTACTACTACTCCTACTACGACTACGGCTACTGCTACTACTACTACCACGACTACGACGACTACTACTACAACTTCTGCTACCACTACGACTACTACTACTACGACTACTACGACGGCGACTACTGCTACTACTACCACCAATACTACTAGTAGTCCGCTGGCTACGACGACGCCTACTACTACTGCTGCTACTACGACTACTACGGCTGCTACTACCACTACTAGGACTACTACTACTTCTTCTTCTACTACTGCTACTACGACGGCTAAGAAGAATACTGCCACCACGACTACTACTACGACGGCTACTTCTACTACTTCGCCGACTACTGCTATCATTTTTAGTTCTGCCTGCACGACTATAATTACTGGGACTAACAGTGTTACGAGTCCGATCATTATTACTAACGCTACGACTACCACTGCTACTACTAGTACTGGAACGTGATGACACGCTACTACTGCCAACCAACACGACTGATGTTACTACTCCCTCTATTATGTCTGGTGCTATTAGTACTACATGATCTACTACCACTAGTGTTATTGCTACTGCTACTACTACAATATGTTGTGCGACCACGGCCACCACTACGAATATTCCTGTTTTTGCCTTCCGCGACGACTAGTACTACTCTTTCTACGATTACTACTACTAGGAGTGCTGCTACGATTACCATTACGATTACTATTTCTTTGGTTACTACTACTCCGGGTATTTGTATCTTACTGCCACTACTCGTACTACTACTACTACCACTACAACAACAACTACTACTACTATTACGGTTATTATATTACTACCACTACCACCACCACTACTACCACTACTACCACTACTACTACTACTACTACTACTACTACTACTACTACTACTACTACTACTACTACTACTACTACTCTTACTACTACGAGTGCTACTGCTGCTACGAGTGCTGTTGTTACTGCAAAATCTACTGCTGCTGCTGCTATTGCTTGCTGCTGCGACTGCTACTGCTACTGCTACTGCTGCTACTGCTGATGACTAACATTGTCACTGCAGCATCTACTCCTACGACTGCTAGTGCTCTCGCGCTTGCTTGGAGTACGGGGACGACTACCATCATGTCTACTACGGTTGTTACTATCATGAAAACTATTATGACTACGGCTACTACGACCGCTACTGTCATGATTATTACTGCTACTACTACTACTACTACTATCATTGTGAATAGTTCTACTACCTCTACTACGACCACCACTGCTACTATTACTTATATTGCTACGTCGACTACTACTGCTACTCCTACTTTTAGTACTACTACTGCTACTACTACTACTAGTACGGCTACGCGTACTACTATTATTACTACTACTACTACTACTGCTACTACTACTACTACTACCTCTACTACTACTAGTGCTACTACTACTACTACTACCACTACTGCTACTACTACTACTACTCAAGTACCACTATTACTACTACTACTACTACTACCATTACTACTACTACTACTACTACTACTACGACTACTACTACCACTACTACTACTACTACTACGAGTACGATTGCTGACACTATGAAAACGATTTGTGCTACTACTACTACTACTTCGAGTATTATTACTACTACTACCACAACTAGTATGTTTATTGCTACTACAACAACTTCTACTGCTACTAACTGCTACTACTACTGCTACAACGACTACTTCTACTACTGTTAGTATTACTACCACTACTACTACTACAATGTGTTGTGCGACCACGGCCACTACTACGAGCGCTCCTACTATTATGTATGCGGGTATTGCTACTGCAATTACTACTACTACTACCATTACTACTGCTACTACTACTACTACTACTAGTATTACTACTACTACTACTCCTACTGCTACTACTACTACGACTGCTACGACTACTACTACGGCTACGGCTCCTGCTACGAAAACTGTTATTCTGACTACTGCT